TACTTTCCTCCGTGCGCCAAAGGTGTCCTTTAAGTCCTTTGCTTTTCACCCTATTTTTGTAGCCACTGTGTCAGAAAGTGATTCACCATACAGGGGTTAATGGTTTCAGGTTGCAGTCATGTGAAAGGCGTGTTTTGGCATACGCCGACGATCTTGCCTTTTTTGCTGTTGATAGAGAAAGTGTCGTTTCATAATTAGGAATCCCTCAAAGGTTTTGTGATACGAGTGGAAGTTTAATGAACAAAGAGAAAAGCATTGGTTTATGGTATGGTAATTGGGACCTCACGCCCAGTTCCTTTGGAAATATTCAGTGGCTCACGACACCTAGTCGTTACCTAGGGGTACCATTGGACAGTGAAGACAGTAAAGCAGTATCAAGACAGTGAAGCATTTTGGCTTGAAAAGGCTGCAGAACTACGTGCGACCACCGATGGATGGGATGGTCGTGGCTTATCAATTTTCTCTCGGTCAGCTGTATGCAACGTGTTTCTGGCTGCTAAAATTATGTACCTTTTGCAAGCACTTAGTTGTACGCGTAAAAGCATTCGTAAAATCCACATGATATTCGCCACGTTCATCTGGAGCTCTACATGGGAGCAAACGTCTAGAACAAGGTTGTTTCGGCGAGTTAAGCAAGGAGGGCTGTCTTTGTGCCATCTGTTTCTTAACCAAGTAATATCACGTTTCCTGCTAATAAGAGACCAGAGAGACTCTTTTTTGTGTTCTTTCTTTGAAACAACGCTCTTACACCACATGCCTGACTTCTTTGTATCTTCAGACAGGGGAGAATGACACACCTTGTCACCGTTCTTGCGCGAAGTTGTGTTCTCATATTGTTTCTTAAGGGCAAGGTTTTCGATAGATTACCTAACTAATGTGAAAAGAAAGCGCTTTATGAAAGACTTAATACAGAATGTTTTTCCCGTGCCCCTGTACCGTTCAAAGTATGAAAAATCATATGGTCATGACGTACTAAAGCGACTGAAAAACATGTGTGTACCACCCAATGTGAAAACCTTCTTTTTTAAACTTCATACGGGAACCTTGCCAGTAAAAACGTGGCTTGAAGAGAGAGGGATGTATATACCATGGGGAAGCAGCTGTCTCCTGCGTAACAAACCTGAGACCATATAACATGTGTTTATTGCTTGTAAGAACGCTATTTTCTTTTGGAACATTCTAGAGAGGACTTTAAAAAAAAGATTTACCTCTTACTTCATATGGAATTTGTTTTTTGTCTTGTGATAGTTGAGTGCAAAATTTGGATGTTATATTTTTATTTGGTCTTCATTCGGTTTGGCGTAGTATGTATCGTACAGACACTGTGATGTGAGAGTTCTATCCGTTAATGAGTGTTTCGTGGAAGCTGTTATAGAAGCGCGAGATGTGTATAAGACAACCGACTGTGTTGAAGATGTAACAGCGTTGTTCGATGTGTTATCACTCATGAAACACGTGTGATAGTGATTGTCAGATTAGCTTGACCTGTAGTCAAGAAAGCAATAAAGAAAAAAAAACGCGTGGCTCAGTGGTAGAATACTGGGCTGGCCCGCAGCGGACCCGGTTTTGAATCCGATTGTGTCCTTAGTGTTCTTCATTTCCTGATTTTTATTTTTTTCTGATACTGGTTACGGACACTGGAGGTGGTGGCGGACAACTATGGCGCAACACTTGACCCATTTTCTGATCTCATAGCGGCTTTCGCTGTAAAAGCTTGAGCAGGCAGCTGTGACTTGCAGAAATAACTGCATTCACGAGACGACGTTGGGTCAGTCGGTGTTTTATAATGAACATTGCCTAATGAACGGATACAGTAATAGCGTCTGTGGGGCCTTCCTTATCTGTCCTCTTCGTGCCGTTTTCTGCCGTTTTCTTTTCGTTGCCCGTAGAGTAAAGCACTGCCGTTACGCCTTCTTCGGAAGAGTTTCTTTCTCAGAGTTGTGCACCGTCACGCATGACGTATCTCAAGGCAGCGCCTGTTCGCGTTGTAGCGTCACTTTTCGTGATGAAGCGCGAACGAGCACGGATACCAGCACGCCGCGCGGGGGCGTGCTGCTCAGCGTTCGGCGCGTACGCATTCATAATTAAGGAGGCGATCATTACACGGCCGCGCCGAGAAGCACCGAGAACGGGAAACAAAATGCCCGTTAATTGCAGCGCCTTTCCGCTAGGATAAGCCGTGTTTCCAGCGGGGAGGCCTTCAAGCTCGAGACCACGTACCCTCTGCTCGGGGCCGCGGCCCCGTGTTTATCGCACCTTGTGGTGATAATGGCACCACTCGCATGCTGGAAAGAGCACGCGATAACACGTGCCATAGCCAAGGTGCAAGCAGAGAGCTCCCTGTCGTTTCCTTACTGACTTGACAGCTTTTAACGCGATAGTGTTAGAGAGCTCGCTTCCTGGAAATTTCGGCTTGAGCGTCGTTGGCTATGAGTTAAAAATTATCATCTTGTGCGTGAGCGAAAAATCCACAAAAACGCAACAAAAATAATGAAATATCTCAAGTTCTAGTGAGGATCTCATATCAAAGGTCTGGTATGTGATGAAGGTGTTGTGTGCCTCACGAGTGAATGTTCAGAGAATTCATCAGTTCTTTGCGGTCTCTATTTGGGCGTTTACCTGGGAGCGAACAGGTCGCCTGCACTTCTTTCTCTCCGTCAAGCTAGGGGGACTTGGGTTAGCACACTTGTTCCTGCGACAGCTTGTATCGCGTTTCATTTTTTTTTTGTGTGAAATCAAAACGACCCTTTTCATCGCACCGTCATTCAGGTTAGGCTGTGGATTTATCGTGATCTCATGTGAAAGCATAGGTGGGCCTGTAATAAGGCATTTGCGAAAGCTGATCGCTTCATATAGGATGTTGAGTGCTTGATTTACTCAAGAGTATTTGTGTAGTGTTAACCAGAAAAACTTTATACAGGTCTAGTTTAAACTGTGTAACCAGTGCCGTTGTACCATTTTCCCCACCTTAGAAGCCCTGAACAGGATGCTTTAAAAAGAGTAAAGGATATGCTGGTGCTACCATCAGTCTTCTTTCATATTGTACACAAACATGCCTCCAGTGAAAATCATGGATAAGCGATGAGGGATTCTTCATACCCTGGACAACCAATTCCTATTGATGTCAAAAACCAGAAACGATGGAACATGTATTCTTGTGCTGTTGGGATTCCATATTCTACTTGGACGTGCTACAACAAACTCTAACGAAAGAGTTGCCTCTCGGCACTTACTGAACACGTTTCTTGGAGGAAGTTCTATATGATTTATTATGCTCCTGGGACTCTTAGCTTTGTCAAAAACGAAATCAGAATTTAGAAATGTTCACCAAGTTGTACAGCCTGTTCGTGAACACTTCATTGAAAGTGTGGTGCGTCTGAGAAAGGTCTATCACACTCTCCCTCAGCCTCCGGTGTAGATTTCGTGCTCGAGGAATTGATCAGTATGTATTATTTTCGTCTTATTCAAAGCCTGGTCAACGCGTTTGTGTACATGAAGTCAGAAATAAATAAAAAAAAAGATGCGTGAGTGGGGAGTAGAATATCCTTTTTCCACGCAAACGACCCGAGTTCGATACCCACTCCGACCCAAGCGAACCGAGTTATATGCTCACGGTGCCCAGGATTCCTGTTATTTATTTTATTTCCATCGTTCTCGATTTTCGGGTCACGCATAAGATGATGATTTTTCGCTCGCAACCAACGACGCCGATACCGATGCCAGAATTTCCGTGAATCGTGCTCTTTAACACTGTCGCGTTAAAAAGTACACACTCAGTGGTTGAAGTATGCACTAGGAACAAGATATTGCTATCACTTTCAACTTTTAATGGCGAAGGTTAGGAGGCCCCCCATGTTTTCTAACAAAAATATATCATGAGATTTTATCAAATCATTCGACTATTTGTTTTGCGCACTAAGTCAACTAAACACTGCAAATGGTCTATAAATTTAATGGAGAAAGGCAAGAATCTTTTCGCACATTTCAAGGCTGGTCGCGAAGGTCCTGGACTTCGTCCAAGCTCAAGACAACCTTGATTACAAAAAGGCAATCCCTAGGCAATTTACGTTTTAAGAATAATTCTCTCACCAGCAGGTGATATTTCCAGCATATATTTGTTTATCTTTGTTCTTTTTTCTCTATTGTTGTTCTTTTTTTATTCTTTCCATCGCGGATAGCTTTGTTAGGCCGTCTTGGCAATCGGTTAGTTATTGTGCCGCGAACATCGAATATCATTCGTTCTCCGAATATTACAAATATACACGAACTAAATACCTTTCATTCCCGTCATTTCCTAATAATAAGCATCAAAGATCGCATTCGTTTACATTGCATTGCTGCACAGACCACCTGCGGAACGTCCCCGTCTCCGCAGAATCAGTCTCCATGCGTGCATTACAGAGACATTTCAGGATTCCACATTTTGTTGCATAGCATTTCACGTCTGGAAACGCAAGCTTCACGGTAACCCAGACTTGTGTTATGGAACCGAGTAAATTTGACAGGGATATTTTTCTTGCTTGGCCATTGACGGCCACCAAGTTTAAACATCGTTGCCCTGTATCGTAGCGGAAACCGCGTGGACGACGGCTGCCATCTACCGCCACTGCTTTAAAACGATGGCTGCGTCTAGACATCTGGCGTCACATTGGCGCTGAATTTAAGACAAGCCCAGGCCCCAGCTTTTGGTCAGGTTCAGCTCCGACCGTTTTACCTTTACGCACGCACTGAAAATGCAGTCACTACTAAACTTAAAACCGACTTCAAATAAATGACTTTGGTGCGAGAATGACTTTTACTGTCAAAAGAAAGCAGACCACAGACAAGCACTTATTGTCTCATGTTATAGGACATATTAACAAATGTAGGTTTAAGCATTCAATAAACATTTTAAACGGAGTATGTTGGTGCTTCTCGTGTTGCTTCTGGTATTCTCAGTGTTTGTGACATGCTTATTTTGCTGTGGTGTCAAATAACTTTGCTTTTGAATTGCTGTGCAGATCGTCGACTACCAGTCGACAATTGTTGACCACGACACCTACCGACTTACTGTGAGTATAGATCAGAACAGCTTCGAAATTTTAAGCAAGTGTATAATGTAGCCACTTGACGAATCGCTAAATGTATTGCGTATTGTTTAGTAGTTCTTACCGAACGACTTGTAACGAATGCTTCGTCGCAGAATGCTAAATATCTTTGCAAACCGATTGTGTTGGATCGCGATGGAAAACTAGTCGGAAGGCGCCATACTCATTATTTGTGAGAGATATCTATAACTTTATTTCTCAAAGCTTTTCGTTGGTTGGTGCTTTGTTTACTAATGGTTGCCAAGAATTGTGACCTGTGCGTCAGCTTGCAAGATACCGCAGAACCTATTTGCTGTTTCAAGATTAGCTAATTTTTCTTCCGTGAAATTCTAACATAGCGGTTGTTGTGGTCCCTGGTGCTGCAGCCGTTCAGGGCCCGGTTAGTGTAGAAACACTTCCTTTGGCACTATTTCTTTCACCCTTCGACTCCTGTCTTATTATTTTCCCCGCACACGCACAGTCGTGAAAAAATTAAAGGCGAACTTAGCCATAACTACAGAGCATAATCTTACACATTATTGTTGCGATATATTGTTAAGGCCTCACACTGAGCGTGGTAACGGAAATCGCGCTGACATAACGACTATTGGTGAAAACGGGAACAAAAGTGTGCGTTTCAATTACATTTAAATTCATATTTCACTTGCCCATGAATAAGCGTCATCCGTGTCATTGCTCTGCCGCCAACGTTTGCGTGATAAAATCAGCCAAACGAGCGGAAAAGCGTCTGAATCGCCATTGTTTCTAGGTTGCGTTCCTTCCTTTCTTCCTTCTTTTATTTTTTTTCGTCATTGTTCAGATGCTTTCAATAATAACATCTCTAGTGTCCTGAGCACATTGTCCACCACACTATAATTTTTGTGTAAGTGCTTTCTGCGAATACGGGAGCCACGTTTTCTGTATACGTACACCTACCCAACTGTCGCTGCATTCACATATAGCTGTGCATAAACAATCCACAACCAGTTATCTGCAGCCAATACTAATTCACATTTCGGGCGCAACTTACGAACACATATCCCGGAGGACATGCCGTAACGTCATTAGATTAATTGAAATAGTTCTGATCTGTTAAGCCTGTCGTTGAGTATTGACGTATTGACGTGGCAATGACTAGTCGAGAATAGCCACATCTGCACGCATACAGCGTACAGACGTGAGCTGTATCAGAGGACACTGAAGTTGAATTTTGCAGCCCATAGCGGCTGAGCGCTGCCCACAAGCGTAAAATTATTCATAGCAATAAATATTCTAACACAGAGGTATATCTTTCTATTCAGCACGTCACATTCGTGTCGGTAAATTACATGTACTCGCTCATTAAACGTGATTTAGCGTGTTCCCCGTCACCTTCCTCACAACTGTGATATTTTCTGAATATGGGACCTTCATCACTTGTTCAAGCTTCGGCACTGTATATTCTGCACGTGAATCGCTAATTTTTTTACGAGTGTGGCTTCAACAAATTAAAAAAATTAAAAATTCGTGGCCGTTTCAAAAATTTTAAATAGCGCCCGCTGGTGTTTCAGTGTTCAATGTGCTCCATGTATGTGACGAACATTTTTACTGGCTGGTACAATAGTTTGGACATCTTTGCAATATTATTGTTTTTTTTTTGTTATTCTTTAAGCAAGAACAAAACGCTGTCCTGTTGATGTACGTTTTATTCCGACTGATATTTGGGGTTAGTCAACAATTTAGTTCCTTTAGGTCTTAGCTTGCCGCGGTGAAACAAATACAATGCAGCTGCTAGTTTCGGGGTTTTCCCAATATGAATGATTATAATCTTTCTTGGGAGACTTGAACGCCGAAATTTTGGTCCGTCGTTCCGTCTGCCTGTCATTCCCAGAATTCAGCCACCCGGCAAAAGTTTAAGCTCTCACTGAACGCCCAGCCATCTTGAACTGGTGGCTGCTTTCAAACTTCAGAACATTTTCTACCAAAAAGCAAATCTATGGCGCAACAAGCGCACATGAGCATTATGTAGTGTGTTAACTTACTATAAAATACGTACATACGTAACTCTAAAGGCCTTAGGCTGCGTCGAAAATGTGGCGGTACGTATGACATAAATACGACGCTACGCACGAAAATATTAAATCCTCTGTCGACGATATGGTGCTGCCACCTGTGAGTGGTCCTACGTTTTGCGCAAGTTTGTTTTTCGACGCAACTACCCGATTGCATCCACGTCTGGCAAGGATGAGACTAGGACTCATGTAGTACCCGTGCTTTAGCCTAAGCCAACACGGGACTGTGGTGTCCGCTGCTCGGTAATGAGGTCCACAGGACGGCTTTCAGCTCTCCCATAGAAGAGTACTAAGTACTCTAAATCGTTAACCACTTTTTCTAAACACACAGTACGGCGTATTGTGCATCTAACGCTTCTCGTAAGCAACCTTACTACCCATCATTCTCATGTTCGCTGAACGATCGCAGCGCCAGAGTACCCTCTAGATAATTTTGGGAAACTCTATGCTACCGAAGATAAGGTGCTGCCACTTGGGAATGGTCCTATGTTTTGCGCAAGTTTGTTTCTCTACGCCACTGCCAGATGGCGTTCATGTATGCCGCAGATGAGACCAGGACTCGTGTAGTACGGCCGGCAGGAGACAACGGTCTTTCGACGACACTTGCAGCGAAGCACGCATTTATATACGCTGCCCAGTTTTGCCTACACGTCCACTGCAGTCGGAAAAAAAGTACTGGGTTTATCATGCATTGACCGAAGATTATGAAATTACGAAGCCCATCTTATTCATCCATTTTCGTTTCAATTGGTGTATTGATACATGTCGGCTTTCGTGTGCTCTGGGCTAACTGTGTTTCTTAAGTTGCATAAGCGCATCATGAAGGCCTAGTTGAAAACAGCACGTTGTCGATATCTGCTCATTCTAGGTGCCCCAATGGCACCAGCTGCTCAGAACCTTTTATTGAACACAATTGTTTGCCATTAATTATTTTGACAACTGAATTTCATGCAGAACAAACTTATGCCCCTGCAGCATGTGTATCCAGTATATCCCTCAACTTGAACCGGAACGTTCGATTTTCATTCTTTAGAAGGCTTTTTTTTCGTACATTCGGAAAACCGGAAGTAATTGCATGACCGGAAGTACTCGAAAGGCAAGCGAGAGTGTCGCTCGGTACTCACGCCACTGAAAAAATAAAACGTGGTCAGGCGTAGTACTTTGCAATAAGTGAAACTAATGACCCGAAGTATCTTTTTATAAAGACACCTATATTTTAGGAGCTGGTCTCCTAGGGGTGTATCGCTATTCGAAGATCGACCCCTGACGAGTTCTCTCACGACTGCCGTGCCTCTTCTCAGGTGGTGGCACTGGCCGGCATCAAGGACTTCGCAAGCCGTGTGACAATCTAGAACGAGAAGCGTAGCCTGGCGCTGCAACTGGCACACGAGGCAGAGACGGTCTCTCTCGAGGATCCAACCCCACCGATGCCGCCCAACTCGAAGCGCCGTTCAATATTTGCCTCTCGCCATGCTACCGTCTCACCACAGCTGCTGCCAATCCCAGTGGTACCACCGTGCATACTGGGTGCCCCGGACATTCCGTTCCCTCCTCCACCAGGTTTCATTCTACAACCGCATCCGGACGGCAGAGGGCCACCTCCTCCTCCGGGGTTTCAGCCGGAGGTTGCAGCACCGCCTGGCCCGGGGTTCCTATTGCCCGCCACCGACGGTACTTCCCCACCCCACGATGGACCGCGCGGTGCATGGGCATCGATAATGTTCAACTAGGCGTGAACAGTGCGGTATGAGCTGTATTGGCGTCGTTATAATTAAGCTTCGCATTTCGGGACATCGGCCTTTCAATAACGAGGAATAAAGTTTGACGACATTATCACTTGTGCGTTCCTTTATGCTTCGTGTTATTCTTACAGCATCGCGGCTGGGTGCAACACGGGTAAACTGTGTCTTAGAATATCAATCTGTAAGTATACTGTATAAGCATATCTTCTTTGAAGAGTAGTCAGCAAATCAATGTTTTCAGCCTGCTAGCAAAGTTTAAGAAATCGAAACACTGAAGGTTTGCAAGGACTTTACCATTTTAAAGGCGAACCTGCAAATAATTCCGATTTTTTCAACACTCTAAGAAATTGAAAAGTAGTCACAAAACTTGATATTTCCAGCAGCTACATCTTTTATTTTCTTCTAGGAGGCCACACAAATCTAGCATTTATTATTGAAGGATGGGCTGCATTATGTATACAGACCAAACTCTAAGCCATGTTATCATGTCCGCAGTGCAGTTGGTAAGGTGTCTAGGTTTAAACTGAATGGGTGCTGGCTCAAATCGCACAGCCATTAGTGTTCAAACAAATCAAACCCACAAGGCGATGTTGGTCGGGAATCTAAAAAGCTGCAGTCAATTTCTTTATTTTTAATCATGGCTGGCAGTAGTGAACAGACCAGCTTCTAAACAATGCATCCTGTGCCATGCTGGTAGCCGAGATTTTATGGCGTTCAGTTCATAAGCAAAAAGTTGCTAGTTCAAATTACAACGCTTGCATTGCTGAAACACCTCGAAGCCACCCAGACACATCACACTCGAAATCAAAATGCACCTGCTGTCCCATGATTTGTCAAACTGGACAGAGGTAATGCTGAGAATAACATTGCACGTGGACCTTCTAAGCCATACACTTGTGGTGGGTCTCTTTATTTTGTAAGTAAAAGCAAAAATTTTGGTTGGTGTCACACACTACAGCAGCATTGGATCGTGAGGCCGGGGGGCCCCCACGCTCCCAGTTTTCACAAGGTGGAGTGGGACGAAACTTAAGCAAATTTTTCAAAGCTCTAAAGAAATCAAGTTACGAATAAGACCGACAGCGGGATTTGATCCACCGACATTTCGGATACGAAACAAACACTTTACCCCTCGGCCACTAGTACGTCACAAGTGGGTGCGACCTGACGTTAGGTTCATCTTCGTCCTTTAGGTCTTTCCAAGCTGCTAACAGCATATGACCTTCAAAAATGCATAAAAAACTGAACTTGAATTGGGAGTCGATGCCATTACGTATAGTGGCTCCTCTAGCCAACGAGGCGTATAATTAGGGACGAAGCTCTTTAGGCCGTGGGTCGCTCTCTCATCCGCATGTATGTAGCCACCTCTAGTTTAAAACTTGCTCAATAGGTGGTGATGTGTGTTTGTGTCCTTGGAAATATTGTAACTAGATGGCTTTCGTGGTTTTCACAGCATATCCACGGAGTGAATCATGAAGACTGGGGTGAAGCGTCCATCTGTCCGTCCGCGTGTCCAACCGTCCTTGCACTCATCCGTTTGCCCGTACATACGTCCGTTCGTGCAACCGTCCATCACCTGTCCGCCCATGCTTCCGTGCACCCATCCGTCCATCTGTCTGCCCGTCCATGCTTCCATCCGTCCACACATTCATGCATCCATCTGTGCGTCCGTGCTTGTGTCCGTCCGCCTGTCTGTCAATGCGTGCTTACGGCCGCATAGACGGATGATCACTTCGGCCCACTCATCATCACTCACTCCGTGGATATGCCGTGAAAACCACAAACGTCATGTAGTTATATTATCCCGAAATACGTATACACACAACGCCAGCTATTGAGCAAATCATTAACTAGAGGTGGCTGCATACATACATACGCAGGAGGGAATGACCCATGGCCTAAGGAGCTTCGCCCCTAATATGGCTCATTGCCTGGTGAAGAAACTATACGTAATTGCATTGATTACCCAATTCAGATGCAGTTTTCTTGCATTTTCGGAAGGTCATTTGCTGTTAGCAGTTCAAAAAGATCTAAAAGACGAAGGTTGCCCAAGCATTGCAGGTTGCTTGCTCCTGTGGCGTGCCACTGGTGTAGGGGCTAAGTGTTCTTTTCATAACCAGAAGGTCGGTGGTTCGAATCCCACTGTGCTGTCTCCTGAAGCTTTTTTTAGAAAAAGAGGGTTGACAAATCAGCCTTGTATGGGCTTCTATGGAAGTTATGCTACAAGTTTTTAGTCCGCCTCGGTAGTGCAATAGGCAGCGCGTCAGTCTCATACTCTCATGCTGCATGTTTACATTCACATTGCTGTACGTGTAATCTAGAGTCTCCTAAGCTGAAGCTTCCCCTGATGCGTTGGCTCTCCCGCAAGGCATGTAAAAAAAAGCAGCCGAAAAGTTGAGGCCCTTATCACCCCTGATCAGGCTCAACTTCTGTCTGACGTCACAACTTGCAATGAAGGTTATACTGTGCGTCTATATTAAAGCCTCCCCAGCTGAAGGTTCCCCTGATGCGTTGCCTTTCCCGACTTGAATGTCAAAAAACAACCAAAAAAGTCGAGGCCCTTGTCACCCCTGATAAGGCTAAACATCTGCCTGACGTCACACCATGCATGGTAAGTTATTATGTACGTTTATGTTAGAGTCTCCCGAGCTGAATCCGCCCCTGATGGGTTGTTTTCCCACAATGTATGTCTAAAAGCAGTCGAAGAAGTTTAGGTCCTTATCACCCCTGATAAAGCTCAAGTTTTGTATTACGTCACACCGTGCAACGAAGAATATACTGGGCATTTATATTAGAACCTTCAAAGCTGAACCTTCCCCTGATGCGTTTGCTTTCTCGCAGTGCATGTCGAAAAGCATTCGAAAAAGTTGATGCCCTTATCACCCCTGATAAGGCTCAACTTTTGTCTGGCCACAACTTGCATTGAAGGTTATACTGTGCGTCTATATTAAAGCCTCCCCAGCTGAAGCTTCCCCTGATGCATTTGCTTTCCCGCATTGATTGTCAAAAATCAGCTGAAAAAGTTGAGGCCCTTATCGCCTCTGATAAGGCTAAACTTTTTCTGACGTCACACCATGCAAGCAAGGTTACAATGTACGTTTATGTTACAGTCTCCCAAGCTGAAGCTCCTCTGATGGGTTGGCTTTCTTGCAATGTATGCCTAAAAGCAGTCGAAAAAGTGTTGGCCCTTATCACCACTGATAAAGCTCAAGTTTTGTATTACGTCACACCGTGCAACGAAGGATATACTGTGCATTTATATTAGAACCTCGAAAGCTGAAGCTTCCCCTGATGTGTTGTCTTTCCCTCATCGAATGTCAAAAATTCGCCGAAAAAGTTGAGGCCCTTATCACCCCTGATAAGGCCCAACTTTTGTCTCATGTCACACCATGCAAGGAAGGTTATAATGTACGTTTATATTAGTCTCCCGAGCTGAAGCTAACCATGATATGTTGGCTTTTCCGCAATGTATGTCTAAAAGCAGTCGAAAAAGTTGAGGCCCTTATCGCCCCTGATAAGGCTCAACTTTTGTCTGACGTCACACCTTGAAGCCGTGGACCTACTATTGCACCTTTTCGTTTCGCAGATGTCGGAAACGAATAAAAAAAAAATCTGATGACGTCAGACAAATTTTTAGCCTTACCAGGGGTGATAAAGGCCTGAACTTTTTCGACTGCTTTCCGACATGCATTGCGGGTAAGCCAATCTATCAAGGGAAGCTTCAGTTCAAGAGACAAATATAAAAGCACAGTATGTCCTTCGTTGCATGGTGGGACGCCAGACAAATCTTGAGCTTTACCAGAGGTGATAAGGGCCCAAACTTTTTCGACTGCTTTTAGACATTCATTGCGGGAAAACCAACCCATCAGGGGCTGCTTCAGCTCGTGAAGCTCTAATATAAACGCATGATATATCCTTCGTTGCACGGTGTGACTTCAGACAAAAGTTAAGCCTTATCAAGATAACAGCCTAATTTTTTTCGACTGCTTTTTGACATGCATTGTGGGAAAGCAAACGCATCCGGGAAAGTTTGAGCTCGGGGAGCTCTAATATAAACGCACAGTATAACCGTAATTACATGGTGTGACGTCAGACAAAAGGTTGAGCCTTATCAAGGGTGATAAGGGTCTCATCTTTTTTGAGTGCTTTTTGACATGCATTCCGGGAAAGCTTCAGCTCTGGAGGCTCCTACGCGCACAGGAGGTCCGTCTTTACATGTTGTTAAGTCGCACTAAAGTTGAGCCGCTATCACTGAAATTATTAGAGTAAATTTCACGCTTATCACTCACCTCCAGCCTGCAGTTTGTAACCTCTAGACATATCCTTCATGTGCATTTACCTGCAGATTGATTAATGGCGTGATTTACTTACACTACTCGAAAAGGAGACGGTTAGTGGAGCTTCTATATACGTAGACGGTAATAGAAGCCATCTCAGTGATTAAAAATGTCTGTTCATCCATCCATCTCTTCATCACTTAATACGAATGACACTGAAAAAACAAATACAGAAAACAAAAGAAAACGTGTATGCTGCGTTGAGTTTCCAACGTGCGGCCTGATGTTCTAAAGGCGAGTGCCTTACCCACTGTGCTGAAGGCCTAGGCATGCACAGCATCACTATTTCTGAACCTCGTGAATGCGCCATGAAGAAGTTCAGTATCAGATAAAGAAAAATTTGCAACGCCGCACTGAGTTTTGAACCTAGGGCCCCACTCTCCAAAGGCAAGTGTCTTACCCACTGGGCTAAAGACCCAGGCTTGAGGGACGTGTGTATCTCTCAACCTTATTAATGCGCTAAAGATAAATTGGCGTATAAAATAAAGAAAAGCTTCGAGGCTGTGCTGAGTTTCGAACCCGTGGTGCCACACTCTAATGTCGATTGTCTCAGCCACTGCGCTAAAGAATTGGCAGTTCCCACATACAGTGGGAATCGATGATATGGCTGACCTTTTTTTAGTTATGTTTTACCGTGTGAGCCATTTTTCTGCC